CAAGAAGGCCAACGGCATCCTGGCTTGTATCAGGAATAGTGTGGCCAGCAGGAGTAGGGAGGTGATCGTGCCCCTGTACTCGGCACTGGTGAGGCTGCACCTCGAGTACTGCGTGCAGTTTTGGGCCCCTTGCTACAAGAAGGACACTGAGTTGCTGGAGTGTATCCAGAGAAGGGCAACAAAGCTGGTGAAGGGTCTAGAGAACAAGCCTTCTGAGGAGCAGCTGAGGGAGCTGGGGCTGTTTAGTCTGGAGGAGGCTGAGAGAGACCTTATCGCTCTCTACAACTACCTGAAAGGAGGTTGTAGTGAAGCAGGTGTTGGTCTCTTCTCCCAAGTAACTAGCGATAGGACAAGAGGAAATGGCCTCAAGTTGCATCAAGGGAGGTTCAGATTGCTCAAAATTTCAGACACCATCCAAATGTGTACCCTAGTTATCTCCAGCACAGCTACCAAGTCAACATATTTAAGCACTCTTTGCTTAAACAATCCGCAAGGGTAATCACTATACTTATTTCTGCCTTAAAGCTTTCCTACATGATAAAATTAATTACCATAAAGTAGTCAACTGTTTCACAATTTCTGTATTCTAATATATTGTACAATGCTTTTTTACTGCATCTTAATATACCTGAGATTTGAGAACACAATTCCAAATCTTTTCTCAACAAACAATTTCTTCTGGATCTAATGCAAAATCCATGTAAAAAGCTGGCTAGCTGGCTTATAGCTCCGGAAATTCTGGAGAGAAATAGCAATGCAGGCTTAACAGACTGTACCACAAATCAATATACTATTCAACACCCTCCTCAAACTATGTCTAAAAGCAGTAAAGGCCTTGTTGTAATACCTAGAACCTCACTTCAGCACCTCTGCAAATATTCTTCTTTGAAAAGAAATGCTACAATAGTGGCTGTTCGGCAGATGAGGTTTAATTTGCCAAAAACCTTCAAATCATTCTTTAAAAGAAAAAAAGACCCCAAACATCTTCCGAATTCTTTTTAGGATACCTTTGGATTATATATGTCTGTAGAGCTATTCCAGCAGGGAAATACCATACAAACAAATGATAATTCCTTTGCATTTTCAGACTTAGGCCATGCAAGACAGTGGCTGACCTGTGCGTTACATTCTTCCTCACCTCTGCATGAAAATTCTGTCCTGCTGTACGCTGAGAATAGATTTGGTGCACACAGATCCTGCTTTCATCTTAAAGAGTCTCATACTACTGCTTATTATACCATAAATTCACCTGTGCTTTCTTTTGCTCACAACAGTAAGAAATGGCCTTTGCATGTGAAGATTCAAATCTCCGGCACCGGATCCTTATTTCTTCATAGAACAGAATGAGCAGACAGCAGAACATGGGTTTCTCACACCGTGCACAGCCAACAGCACTCCACTTCAAGCCAGAAAGATCCCATGAAGCCAGATGAGAAGCCAATACCCAGTTTGAACAAGGCAGGAGGGCAGTACCAAGGAATCTTCTGTGAGAAACACCTGAAGAGTTGCTCAGATGCCGCAGTGCAGCTGGCTAGTGCCATCTTACACAAACATCGGTACTGAGAGTTTCAAACGGGGAAGGCAAATATTGACATGGGAATTACGAGTGACACCTTTCTTCACTGAGTGGCATCAGAAGCTAAGCAGTAAACTCCAAAACACCTCACATAGCACTAGAAACTTATGTTTAGACAAATGGATTGCATTTACTGAACCCTGAAGATGCTACTAAATATAAATACGATAAAGTCATTTACCGTCTTTGAAGTCCGCATTTTTCTGCCTCACCAGAATTCGGAAATCTTCTGCTGGGTTAACACTGCCAACCTACAAAAGGTCCAAAAATATTATAATTGTCTGCCAATATCCATCTCTTTATTCTTGCGAGGCAACAAGAATCTTTAAAATTCTCTTTATTTTAATATGGAAACAGAAGCTCTGCAATTCTCTGCATGTGGATTCATAAAATCCAAGTCTTACAATGTGTGTTAATGCATAGAACTCCTAGCAAAGGGTAGTTATGACATAAGCAAGATGAACTTACACTCACCATGCTGCACTCTAATCAGACAACCACATTGTCTGGGGTTTAGACATCAGAAGCACAGTCATTCAGGCTATCTGCTAGTTCAGCTCTGAGACTTTCTGCAGCACTGACCTCTCGCTAATCCTGACAGATGCTTAATGAGGAATGGGAAGCTCCCAGGCACGTGGATGCAGAATCACTGGTTTGCCACTCCAACTGGAAGCTCAAAATTAAAAGCTTGCATTCAACTCATCTACCCTTTCTGGCCCAGTCTGACATCTTAAAGCTGAAGCTCTAAATAGACATACAAGTGCAGAAACCTTACAAAGGAACTAAAACTGGTCAAATATAAACAAAGATCTACTGAAAAATGGATGCAATAACTTTAGGAAAAAAAAATTACACTGCTTAACATTTCCTTTCAGGAATCAGAATTCTCCTAAGTTTATTTGAAAATTTTATGTTTTGCTGTCAAAATAATTCTTCAATCTTTCAATAACCTTGTTTGGTCTCTGCATTTCTTTTAAATCTGGCAATACCACTTTTCAGAAAAAAACAAGCAAGTATTTTAGGTGTATAAAATATTTAAATCTTTTTAGATTTTAAATATTTTTAAAAATCTCAATCATGAATTTTAAAAGCCAACCTTAGTTTTAAAGTAAGTGAAGTTATGTCAATTAATATTAAATCACCTTTTTTTCTGTAATTTGAAAAATCAAATAAAGTGCGGAGTTATGATACAGGCTTCATCTACCCATGTACACAATATCTGGAATTAAGTTAGACATTTAACCTATCAGCAAGATGAAGCCAAATTTGTGATTTAGAACCCCAACTAATCCACAGAACAGTCTCTAAAATCACAGCAATACCTTTGCTAAAATATTACAGAGGCAACTTCTATGTTGCAGATGATATGAAAGACAGCGAGAACAAAATTCAACCACTGAACCCCAAATCTGAGATTCTATTTTCTTCAGATCCTCAGACTTGCCCTTTAGAGTTCTAGACACCACGGGGAGAATTTTGTCCTAAAATATCCAAGACCGATGGAAACTCATGCCATCATACACCTAAGGACAGAGGAAGTTGTCTTTACAATCTCTAGCGGAGAGTCTCAAATCTACAAGTAGATAATGTTTCAGTCATGTTTCAGCAAGAAACACTCCTCAGGAATTCTTTATATTCACTATAATAGAGAATTAATCTCCTTTAATAATCAGATTTGTAAAAATATGCTTACAGAGGTGACATTGCCTTCAGCAAGTTTTATGATGCTAAAGCTGCCTTCCTCATCTTCAATTTTTGGTTTCTTAGAGTTGGGTCCTTCTTCACTGCTGCAAATGAGAAGGACAAAAATGAATATAAACCCTTAAACTGTCCTGTCTACTAAGCAGGGAGTCAGTAAATTAATGAAATACACACCAAACACTGGACAAAACTTCATTATACAACTGTTCCCAAATTAACACTAAACCATGCCTCGTTCTTCCCCACAGGCTGCACAAAGTAGACAGTAGAAACAGAGATCAAGCTTTATCTTAGCATAAAGAAAAGGCACCGCCTGTTGAAGGTGCGAGATTATTCATGCTTATTTCAGGAGTGAATTTACTCATACACATCTTCTCCACCTTTCTCAATAGTATCTCCAGTCACTTTATTTGGAACCTGTACATTGAGTCAACCTTGATAATTTACAGTATATTACATGACCTTTGGTATTCTCACCAGACCTTAACATGAAATGACAATGAAACTTAACATTTAAGTACAAAATTCATTTACTCTTCAAAAATGACCCGTTAGTTCCTGTCTTAGAATTGATAGCTACTACAAATCTGTTTACACAGTGACTTTTGTGTCTAATGACCGTTATCCTTCATCAGCACATGAGAGCTTTAAAAACTTCCATGTACAGCAGTCCAAACCTGCTAGACAAACACCAATTAAGTATGTAAGAACTCTCTTAAGACATTTTAAGGCATGTCTCAAAATGCTTTCAAAAGACTCTTTTTAAAAACCCAATTATGATTTTAGGCTACTTTCTAGCTTTGCCCTCACAGGTAACATATACTAAGGTGTACATTCAAACCCAGAACTTAACTGTAACATCTAACGTGCCAAAAACTTTAAAGCACATCTTGGCAAGAGAAGAAAATCCAGCTAATCACAAAAGGGGAAGAAAATCAGACTCTATGTTCTGTGTCACTTAATGTGACAGGCTACTTACACAGAGGAACTGATTTCAGTTTAAGAATGACTGAAAACTACTCACTGATTTAAATGGCAGTATTTGTGTTCAAGAAATCCTAAAACAAGAAAAACTTCTTCCTTTGAAAATTATACTACTGCAGTGCTTGATGATGTAGAGACAAAGCCAGAGATCCTGGACTAGGTGCCATTTGCATTCTACAAGCTTAGAACTGATTTTAAAAACTGCATTGCACATTACAGGAGCAATCAACTATCACAAAGAACTTGCACAGTCTTCCTTTTTACTTTCTATAGCACACTCCTCCTCTATTTTACCATCAGTGTCTTTCCCACTTTATTTCACCAGTCTTCTCTGTCCTTTACTTAATTTTGTCACTACTGAAATGAAATCCCTTCTCTTCAGCAACTCCTGTCACCCTACATAACCTTACTTCTCGCTCTCAGAGAAATGATGACTTTGGTTATGCCTCAGGACAAGGATAGGACACCTTGCTTCCTTCTCAACTCTGCTGACTTTCTGGCTGACCTTGAACAAGCTGCCTGATTGTTTTGGACAGCCGATATGCCTGTGTCTGTAAAATGGAGAAAGTGATACTTATCTAACACCACTGAGTTTAGTTAGAACTTCTACCTGAACCAAGATTCTTGTGTATTGATGCGGTTTGAAGAAAGGTGCAAAGAACAATGAAAATTCTCTTTTAGAATACTTTTCTCCAAAGGTGTTTTCCACTCAATTGCAGTGTCTTGAAATCTTTTTTTCCTGAATTATTTTTACCAATTCAAAATGCTTTGGGATTGGATGAAGGAGGAGAACATAAACGATGCTGCTGCATTTAACTGCCTAGGACCAAATCTATAGCTGTCCTTAATCAGTGCAGTACAGCAGAAACTAATGAATCCATATCCATTTATACCAGCCAAGGATCTGACATTTAGAATCTGTCACTGGTAATGCACTGATTAGCAGTATTTTTAGACTGTAAAACATGCAACTACTATTTGAGAAAAATCAATAAAATACAAGATTATTTTAAAACACGCACTTCTACATTTACATAGAAGCCTCTCACATACTGCAAAACTAGATGAGGTAACAGACTCTCCAAAGCCAACCTAAGAAGGAAAAAGTAAATTGCTTTCTGTTTTACTGGATTTTTCAAACTACACAGAGCTTACCAAAAGTGAAACAAACAAATGCTGAATATTAAAATCTGTATTAAAATGACATGCCTACATTTATGCTGCCTTAATCCCATTAGACCTTAAAAATTAAGCAGAGATTAATCAGGTCAATATGATGATAAGAGACACTAATCAGTTTTAGAAAACAAAATTAATGGTCAAGAGCTTCTAGTCAACATTTTCGAAACACTTTAGTGCAAATTATCTAGATCTGATAGTTTTGATAAGTTGAATGTTACCTGCTCTTTAACGTTTTCCTTAGTTATTGTTGCAGTGATGTCCTTTACCAAGTGATTTAATTATATCACTCAGCTTTTCCCCCCAGAACAAAACCAAAAAATTAACAGTTTCCATTCACTACTACAGCAATACCAGGTTTTTTCATACTTCTTAACCCTATTACCATTCATTCTTCTTTTCATTGTTGAGTCTGTATCCTTTTGCCTCCCTCATAGATTTTTCTTTTTAATCATTTCAATGCCCTACACCAATTTCTATCTCAAATATTTTTATAGCTGCTTTCATCACCCCTCTAAAGAAACGAGTTTTAAACAAAACAGCTTTCCTTCTTGCTTGTCAAATCGATGCCTTTGAGGCAATCTGTTTTTAAGCAACTACCAGTAATGGGTCACTGTTTTTTGTTTAAATTCTCTCCCTAGCTTGTTTGAATCCAAGTTTTGCTTTTTTTTTTTTAAACTTGTTCTACCAGTTTTAAAAAATACACATATAAACGTATTTATGTATACACACACACAGAACCTGGGGCACTGAGCAAGGACAAAAGAATTTAATCAGCATGAATTCACAGACACACCAAAACAAGACAGGCACACAGAGCAATGAACAAAATAAATGCAAGGTGTTTGCCAGTCTGTATACAGACATGTGGTCACTACTCCAGAGCAGCAACATGAGCAGTCCTATGTCACGTCTTCCCAAAGATAACATGCTGAGGAGGCTCTAGCCAGCCCAAGGTAAAGGATATATGACAGCTCAGCTAAGCAAGGCCTCAAAATGGCTCAAAAATGTTGTTCTAAGCACTGAAAGGACTGAGCTAAAAATGACAAAAGGGAGGGAGAAGGAGCTAAGAACTCTCCAACATCCCAGGAGACTCACTAGTTAAATTATAGGCATTAAATAAATTAAGCTTTAAGAAGCAGATTTTGTTTGAGCAAATTGTTTCGTGGCTGGGGTGACAGTATCAATGCAGTAGCAACTAAGCATTTATTCTTCATACTTGTAGCACAAATAAAGTAAACACAGTATATGTAATAACAACAACAAAAAAATTTATCTTAAAAACTGTTCAGACAATAAATGTTCCAGGAAGAGTCTGTAACAGTTTGACTTTTCAAGACATCCACACTAATTTGCACAGCAGATATTAATGAAGCTGCTTTTCTTTTGATTTGGAATTCAAAATGAAAGCTACAGAACAACCTAAATGGAGCATGCTGAGAAGGAAGACTCATCTTTACAGCTAATTTAAAGCTCCACAGCATTTATTCTAAACTAAATTACACACTCTGCTATTCTTGTTTGAACTATTTTGTAACTATCACTAGGACAAACTGTTTGACCAGGAGACAGTAGGCAATGCAACAGGTTGCCCAGTGAGGATGTGCAGTCTCTGTTACTGGACATTTTCAAGACCAGACTGGACGAAGCCCAAAGTTACCTGTTTGGATTTCACAGGTATCCCTACTTTGAGCAGCAGGTTGAACAGGAAACCTCCTGAGGTCCCTTCCAACCTGACAGACTCTGAGGTTCTGTGACAACAGACATGAGGAAGCTGAGACAAGTTCCTTGTGTGTCTTGCCCCATAATAGTAAGACCATCACTATTCACAAAATACCCCAGATACACTGCGATATCACAATATTCTCCACCCATCAGTATTTTTTCAGAGTGTAACTCATTGATCTTATGTTCAAAAGACTCTGAGCCTGCTTCATCCAGCAAAATCAACTTGAAGTGTAAAAAAAAGTTTCAAAAAAAAAAAAAATCCATAATACATCTCCAACTTACTTGTCTTTGAAGATGTCTTGAGCAGTCTTCTCCTCTTTTTTCTTGCCAACTTCCTTTAGGGGGAAAAGTGCTTTTACTTTTTCAAGAGGAGCCTGACACCTTTCTTTTACCACACAGGGCATCTCCAGCATCTCTAAAAGGTGCTGTTCAATTGGTGGCAATGGATCATCGGGGTGAAAAGCCTTATGCTGCAAACACTGCAAGAAACGATTTGAGCAACGAAAAACTTTCAGTTTATGTGCTTTTAATATATTGCTGTATTCCTGACATCTTACAGCAAACGCAAAATATCTTCCATATTAAATAAACTACCTTCGTATTGCTGACAAATATTCCAGCTCACAAGTGGACTGAAAGTCATATGATCACCTGTTTAATGAGACTAATAATGATATTAAACAATAATACTGATGCAGATGAGTGTTCCCACACTCACTGGAATGAGTTCTATGAAAATTGTTATGAAAATCACAGGAATGAGAGAGTAATATATATCCATTCAGCTTTTTAACTCCACTTTAGCTTTAAAATGCAGTTCTGTTATAAAACAGTCACATGGGAGAGATGTCTATACATTCCAAAATTAGGCAACGGGATATATACCCCACCCCAGCCACGTATTCCACTTATTGTCACAGTTTATTGTCCCTCAAAGAAAATACATCTTGGTCAATAAAACTCGGCACGCATACAAGAGAAATTTTCAGCAGTTTAAGCAAATGGAAAGACAGAAGTTAAATGTGCACAGGTGAGGCACAGAATACAGGTATATTTGCAAATTAGCTTTGAAAAGAGTAAGGGAATGAAGGGGCCCAACAGATGTACATCAAAGCTGGAACAGATGGTAGGAGCTACAGAGGAGAAGGCTTTTTCACCAAAGTGTAAAGACAGTGCACACAGTCAGGGAGCCAAGCTGAGGAGAGAGATGAGGTTAACGAGGCAGGCTACAGAAATTCCATTGAGAATTTTAAAAACAAAGTAGGTATCTCTTCAATGCTGTGAAGTGTGGGATAGCAGTAGAGATGTATGAGTATGTGCATATATATATACACAGATACCAGTGCATGCACACACGTACATGGGAGAATAACTTTTCCCAAGCCCACTGTAGTGGGTGAATTAGACACAAATGTGAAGGTAACTACTTGGTAAACTAGGAATACAGCAGAGATTTGCTCCCCTGTTGGCTGTTAGATATGACATTAATTAAAAAACCAAAACCAAAGTAAACAACCCCCCCCCATTCATGCTGAAAAGCTGCCAATAAAGAAAATCCAGACCATATGCTACACATCAATACTGATGTGCTTTCATGCTGCCATTAAGATTCCAATCCATATTAGAGCATACTTTCAAAAGGAGGCAGTCACACAAGGCTACTGATTTGGAAACACTTGTAATGATTTAAGGCATAATTATTTTGAGAGAGAGTAAAAATGTTGCTGGAAGCTGCAGTAATGGCTCTTGTGATACAAAAAAACAATATTAAAAACAACATTAGGGGATTGAATTAAACTCACAGAGCAAAAAACCTAAGTGCCCTGTCGTGAATGTGTTTTTCAGGCTTTTTTATCTGAAGTCTCTATGTGTGCAGCTACAAGAGCTGAGCAGACTGAGAGGCCACAGCCTCCCCTTGTTCCTGTTTTTAGAGCAGACGATGACCTCTGAAACCTGAGATGGCAAGTACCATCAAAACTCAGGTGCTAAACGGAGACAAAGTTGAACAGACTTAACATGAAATTTCTAATCCAAAACAGTCCCTTCTAAGCTTGCTTCCTCTTCCTTCTGTGCCCAGGAAGAACCACTCCTACCATCACTGGCCGGGAGGCAACCCACGCTGCCACTGGCTTCCAGACTCATCATTCTACTCATGCATGTTGTCAGCAACCTACCAGCTCCTCCTTGCTCTTCCCAATTTCCTTGTATTTCCAGCCTAGAGATGCAGCCAGCTTTCAGGAACAGGGTCACACTAAGATACTGGTCAACGGATGTAATGAAGTGGGCTTTTCACATAATTAATTCCATGATAAGCAATGGCACAAATGCATGAATAGACAGGACCTTACTGCAAGACAGCATCCTGCCTTGTTCCCTTCCACACAGCATCTAGGAACACACTTTTGTACAAACATATTTTACCAAATCTAGAAATCCTGCAGGACCCTGATAGTATTCAAAGCCTTGGGACATGGGAGATTCAGCTATCTAAAAGATAAGCATTTAGTCTATACCAGCCACCTACTCACTGTACACAACCACAACTATCACGTACTTAGGATCTCTGAAACAAGAAGGATCAATTACTTTTCCAAGGTTGTTTTTTCATGGATTAGGGAATAGATTTGTACAACTTAGCTGACACTAGTTAGCTAGCTTTATGGTGGTTAAACCTGCGTGAACTGAATCCCAACACAAGTGTCTTAGAGTTCAGTTCACATCTAGTTTGTGGCGATTTCAAAATGACCCTCCAACAGATCCATGACATTCAACAAAAGGTAAGATTACTTGTTGCTGAAAGCCCTTACAGACTTCTGTGAGCTACCTCCTGTCCCCGGGCTGCTCCGCTTTTTGAAAGCACATCACAGTACAGTCCAACCACTTACAAACAAGTTTGGTCCTCTATGGCTGCTTACACACAGTCTAACAAGAGCCGTTACAGCGTATTTAGATGCAGACCCAGCAGCTGGATCCCATGAACTATGCAATGCTGCAGGCCACCATCCCCACAAACCTTCCCCCCAGGTCTGTCTCAGTACGGAACAACCACTGTTGAGCAATTTGTTTATTTGGCTATCAAATAAAATGCACTGCATTCCCCAAATGTTTTATGTGCTTCAAATCCCTCTATTTAGAGGAACAACTTAAACAATGACGTTGTAAGTCTGCCACCACAAAAGCTATGGAAGTTCACTTAGGCTTTTCAGGAAGCAAGCAATAAAAGTTGAAACTCTGGATATAGGATATTCCTCATCTTCCACTCCAGCAAGCATTAGCAACTCCTTTCTACCCTCTCTGTCATTTCCTGATGCCTACCACTACTTCCAGAGATATAATTTAGCTTGATGTTTCTGTTTAAATTCTGGTTCTTGTCACTTAACATTCCAAATTTCTTCAAGAGGCAACAGAGCATGGACATGGAGAGGGAACTCATCCTTTCTTCAGAGTTCTTTTTCCAAACCGTCTACAGATATAGGCTCTGTTCAGCCCAATCAATTCACTGGCTACATTCAAAAGATGATGTATAATTTTTCTTCATAGTTCTTAAGCAACCAGCAGTGCCACTTGGTCTAAGAGCAAAATATTAAGAATATGGACATGTTTGCGGCAAAGGAGAGAACAATCTTTCTGCAACTTACACAGATTAATAGCAGTTTTGTAACCAAAACAAAAAAATGGGGCTGTGCACAGGCAAAAGAAAGCACTAAAAAGACTGGTAATTTAGGGCTTTATAAACAGCAGTCACTGTGGACAGGCAATGTATTCTACCCAGTACATCGAAACAGTCAGTAAATATTTCCACCAATAGCATTCACCCTTACAAAATCCTATTCTCCTCTAAGGAAATCGGGGAGTTACACAGTTACTCTCTTCTAGCAGCACTTGACTCAACTTCTGGGACAACACCGTCATACTGTTTCAGAAATCAAATGGCACACCTAAAGAAATACCTTTCGTTGACAGGCGATATCCACTGAACAAAAAGAATGCAAACTTGGACCTAGCGATATAATAGAGGAAATTCTAACCCCTGTGTGTTTCATTTACAAGCAAAACCGTATTTGTTTTGTAACACCCAAGCTTTACAACCCTTTCTACAATACGAGCTATGCAGAGGTCAACAGATTTTAAGCTCTTGCCCAGCAATAACCTCCTACTGATCAAACCTTTCATTCAGTTAAACACTGTCTTGTCGATATGACTGGCAGAATTTGAAGGGAACACTGAGTTCTTCAGGTGTCATTCAGACTAGGATTTGAAGACAGTGGGCTTATATGTGTTCCTGAAACATACATACGACCTCCGGATCCTTCACTTCTTTTGACAATACTGAGGCAGCATTGCTTTTGGAAGCTAGGCTAAGTTTTCTTAATTTAAAAGAGCATCTTCTTCCTACTTGCACACTGAAAAAATTTCATTTGGAATTGTTGAGATGTTTGCTGTAATACCATTTTTGGTCAGTTTTCAGAGTGGAGTCACGCACTCAATATATCTCCATGGCTCTGTATACAACACAATTCTGCAGCTGCATAAATTGCATCGTAATTGTCCTTATTTTTGAATTTGCTGTGTCATTTTTTTGAACACTTGAATTCCAATGTATAATTAAGTCTCTCATCCTCACAGTTGCAATGAAAATCTTCATGATATGAACGGAATGTAAATTAAAATGCAGACAGCTTGATACAATAACTGCAAGAAGTGTTCCACTTGCCCGTAAAATACGTCAGCCCAGACACCCAAAGGGATCATTTTAAATGTCAACAATGTTAACCGTTTGCTACTGATCAAGTTCACCTCAGACTGATCTGTTTTGGAACCACTGTTAGAAGCAACAATCCACAGAAGAGTGGCTCTGCTCAAGATTTGATGGGACAGAGAATGAGGAGCTAAAGAGACCCCCGACTTTCAGTCAATTTCTCTCTTTGCCCAGAAGCTGAAGACTGAGTCTGTGCCCTCCGCACCACGATCATCGCAATAGTGTTGAGATAACCAAGCAAGTTCTAACTTGTCTAGTCTAGGTGCCTGTGAATATCACTGATGCTGTTACAGATGCCTCAAGCACAGGTAATTTCCCTTGCCTCTTGGAAACTGCAAATTTTAAGAATAAAATCTGTGTCACGGACAACATAGAAATGATTGGCTACCCCATACTTAAATGCAAAAGAATTTATATTCCCATCTTCACAATGCAGATATTTCTAATGTGAATCAGAGAAAGACAGAAAGGTGAAAGTCTCAACAAAATAAGTTTTTTAAAAAAATGCCATATAGTTCATCTCACCTGATATAGCCTCTGAAAATGAGGGTTTGGGATTTTGCTGGGCTTAAACAGGTCCTCAAAAGTTTCTCCATCATCATTTTCATAAACCAAATTCATAGAATCAATCAAAGAGTCAACAGCAGACAACTGATCCGCTAAGGCAGCAATTACATACAAAGAAAAATTAAATATACTTGCAGATGGATGCATTTCTTGAAACAATTTATAAATGAAGATTGGCTTCACAATGTGAGATTTTGCTCAAGTCATTACATGCCACAGAATACACTGTAGATATAGACGTGCCAACAAAGAATATACACATAATGGACACAGTAATAAAACCCCTGCTTTACTTAAGGACTACAGTGTAAAGCCATAAAGCCTTTTTTTTTTTTCCCCCCAAGACCTCAATTATTGCTGCATTTCTCTTTCCATTTTTCTTCTTTTGCAAGATGTTTTTATTTGCAACAGAAGGTTTATAGGCCATTTAAAAAATAAGGAGAACAGTTGGCTTGAAAAGCTAAATGGCATAACATAAATTTTAAAAGTTATGATTGCAAATTTACACAGTTCACAATAGTCAACTATTGCTTTGGTAAGACAGGTTTTAGATTTGTTCTCAAACTGCTGGTTACAGGCAAGAAAATAGAAACTGTTTCAAAAACAACCCAGCATACTTTATATACCCTGATGTGCAGATGCCCATTCAATGGATCTCATAACAAATTAAAGAAGTGGGAGTGGATTTTAAACTACATCCATTTACACTCATTGCTGTGCACAGTTCTCAGAACAGTGAGTCAGGCTTTGCACGGCTGCATGTTCTACGGCTCTCCAAAGATGCCCTCCGTCTGAATCTCAACACCAGTAAGTGCACGGTTTCAGAAAAAAAACTACACCACAGAAAATACAGCCTTTGCCTTTGTGCATTATATTAACAGGCCATACCGAAATGGGCTGCAGGATCACCTTTGTACGAACAGAGCTGATGCCTTTATTGTAATTCTAGCCAGCAAATCACATATTCTAGCTCCCACAAGTTTTGGCCATGAAGTCTAATAAACGAGTTCAAAGATCAAAGGATATGGACGACTAAATGTCAGATGTCTATCACAGACAACCTGTGAGACTAATAATGCCATAACCTGAGCCACAAGTCATTTAAGAGGACAGTTTTAAAAGACTGCCTGCAAACCTCAAGTCTGCTCAGCCTGCAACTAAGCTGGCAAGTTTTGATACAGGCTTTACTCCTCAAGATGACATCACTGTAATGTATTCCCCAAAGGGCTGGTTTTTTTTCCTAAGCCAAAATAATGACAAAGCTTATGTTTTCACCAGAAAGCCAAATATTCTAGTTCTTTTAGAGTGTCCTAAAGGAAGACAAGTACTTTGGTTACTTCGTCCAGTTGCCCAGCGAAGGACTACCTTACCTGTAGGAATGCATTTTTTATTGTTTTTCAAGGATGAAAATATGTACTGTCTTAAGTCTTCCATGTAGGGTAGCTGCACATAGATGAGGCACTGCGCAAGACAAAAGAAGAAAGAAACAACTGAGCCTGAAGTAAAAAAATCTAAAGCATCCTGAAGTGCCCTATCAAGTCAATATAAACATAAGAAAAATCCAAAGATCTAATATCTGTGTGTATCAAAATACTTAAAATATTTACAGAGCAACACAGTTTCAAGCAGAATAAAACACGGCATTATTTTATAGTGATGGCTACACTCCTCAGTTACCTCTGGGTGGAATAAAGACCCCCCAGGCCATCCGATCGCTTTATCTTGTGCAGAGTTCCAGCCAGCCAAGCTTTAAATGCCCCATACATTGGCGCTTTGGGAGGTTTTATCACAGCTTCCTGTGTTTCAAAGTCAAAAGTTGGTTTTGTTTTTTTAACGTTCTCAGCCTAATTTTTTCTTTATTCAAATACCTCCTCCACTCCATATCACCCTGCATAATTCCTTCCCATCCTTTATGTTTATACCCTTCAAAAGTCTGAAGATTGTTATGTCCGCCCCCACCTTCGTCACTGCTTAGCCATGCTACACATATTTAGCTCTTTCAATAGTCTCTTGTAAGTAAGATCAGTGGAAACATATGCTGCAAAAATTCTGACACACCGTGTTGCTTCTGGGTCTCTCAGAATTTTTAAAAAAATTATTTCAAATATGATTCTGCTGTGTACAGAACTTACTTTCCCTCCCTCCCCCCACTAAGAAACAGAGTTATTTTTTTTCTCCTGTTTTTTAAAACCTTTTTGAGTAAATAAGTATACTACTGTCTTCCTAACTTTCTGTATGAGTTTAAACAACAGCTTTAGATGCTCCCCTCAATTCCAGCTGACTTGGAAACCTAATGACAACAGCGCAGTTGGACATGCTTGAAATGCCACACCTCTATCAAATTCAAATTTTGCACTACCAAGCTACCTGCAGATAAATCCACAGTTTGAGAAAGTGAAAGAATCTAGTGCAACTTTGGATTGTACGCAGAAATAGGTAGCAACATACCAAGAAAGCAGTAGTAACTGGTTATCTAAGTATGTGATTACACTGTTTCCAGAAACCAAAAAAACTGAGATTTCCAGGATAACAAAATGAAATTATTACTCTGTCACTGAAATGAAAACCAGTATTATTTAAATCTGTAACATAGAGGATACGAATAGAAACATATGGCATTATTTTTCCATGTAATTTGCTATGCAATTTTCTTAATACCATTTATTACCTCCTTGTACTAAGACTTGGTACAATTTCCTAAAACCACTCTGAAAAGTCACATTGGTTTCTTCTGGTATTACATAACACTGAAAATTCACACAGTACAAATATGACTATTTATTAACTGCTATTTGTAAAGCGTCAATACAGATGCTCTCTACAGGAAAGGAAAGGTGAAAATTACCTCGTATGCATCCTTAATATATGGAAAAGCTACCCCAATTTGCGGGTTGCATCTTCTGTCATAAGCATAACGCACTATAGCTACCACTTTCAACTCCTCCAATGCATGAACAAGAGCAGAAAAAGCAACTGCTGCATTCTGGGGGGAAAAAAAAAAGTCTAGAGAGTCATGCAAGTTCTCATTAGTCTGCTGAAATACATCTTTAACAGTGAATTCAACAGCAATGATTTAGTCAAGACTAGTTCCCATTTCAGCTACAACATCAACACAAGCATTTCTTATGTTCAAAAAACAAAGAAGCAGAAAGGTCAAATCTCATCACGATAGTGGATCCATCCAAAGCTGGGCACACTTTAGATCCAGCACGTCCCACCTTGTCCACAAGGTGTGAAGAGCTCTCAGAAGTATTACAAGACGAAGAAAAAGGGAGGGAAGTCAGACCCTTAAAGGAACACATCAGAGCACTGCAGTGAGGTTTTTACCTCTACTATTTAAAATAATTTGGAAGTCTGTTCTAAACAACACAGTGACAGGGCACACTGTTGCTCTGCATGAAAGTGGACTTAAGCACCAACTCTAGGTTCCCCATGCCCTTGCACAAATGTAATATTTACCCATTTCTCATTATTGGTGAGACATGGTATTCATTTGGTGTCTAATTCAACTGCTTTTCATCCTAATGGGCAATGGAACAAGACTTCTGTAAGCTGCACTAAGAATATTTATTAACACAGAAAGAGTGGCCAGTTTCAAGTACCACTACTATTCTCCTCTGTTGCACGGCAAAACACCTTTAGCACTAAACTTCAGTTCACCTTACCTCATCATCTTTCGCTGCAAAAACCTTCAGAACCTGGTTGCCCATGTAGTAATGCCTCTGGATCTAAAACAAATGTCATTAAAGTGACTGGAATAATTATATTATGAAAGAACTATCACACCACTCAAGTGAGAAGCCACAAAATTTAATTACTGCGTGTAGAAGTTAAAGCCCTGTATACGTTCTATATCTCCATTTATCACTCAGTATGGATATTCAGTCATATTCACCAGGATATTCTTCCTGTGGATGGGCTGGAATGAAAGACTATGGTACTAGCTGATGTTACCAGTCTGAATAATACTGCTGTAATTTGGAAGTCAGTGTGAAAAACCACAGTAGTTAGCAAAAGACCTAAATCTAACCGACACCACATCCAGGCTATTAAATTTTCCTAGCAAAGACATATCAAAAAAGAGCTGAAAAAAGTCACATCCTTAATTAACAAAGCTACATCAACAGCAACCTAGAGTATATATAGATGTGCTGGCAAAGCAGCACTTCTGTTATCAGAGTTTATGCTGTTCATGAATATGGCTGACCGTCCAAAAAAAAAAAAAATACAGCTTTATTAAGGGGCATTGCTGGAAGAGCTGTAGCTACAGAGGCTGACACCCCCCCACAGAAACACTGCAACAGTGGAAAACCTGTCTCAAAGACTGCACGCTACCGTGAACACTGGTTAAAACGACCTTTCTTTGTCAAAGAAAAATCTCTTCAAATTAGACTGTCTCCAAACCAACCTTGAGTTTCATTATTTAGCGAACTACCATAATGCTGTTGAAGTCAGTGACAACTCACACCAGAACAGATCTGTTTAATATTTTACAGAATGATTCTTCAACTCAGAATATTGTACCTGCAATTGTTCTTTGCTGTTCTGTCTTTAAAAGTTCAGGAAATTTTATGTTCAGTATAGTATAAATATCTAGACATGCGTATCACTACACCTTTTTTGGTTTATGAAAAAAAAAGATAGCTTTGTAATATTTTCAAGCGTTGTTTCCTGATTTACACAGCATTGCTTATAAATTAAAAATCAAAGTTTAAGCAGCCTCTGATCTTCTTTCCTGAGGGATGTGAACAACTCAGAAAAATAATATGAGGTGGTTCTACTCCTTCTTTAATTATTTATTTGGAACTGTTCCAGTTTCTATAGTTAGTAATAAATTATCTTTTCTTCAAAAATTTTAAAAGAAACAATTTAATATAAAACATACATTTGAAAAATGTCAGTATTATAAGTCCAAACAATAAAATTCAGGAGCCAAAACATAAGAACAGCATGGGTCTTGAAAATTCCAGTTGTAGTTGAAAACTTCCCGATATCATTATCTATAAAGTGTAATTTTAATCCTGCAATCACACCTGAATAAATTTATTCCGCTGACATCTATGCAACTACTATTGGGCATAATTACACACACTCCTAGTTACAGGACCAGAGCACAGTTTATTCAAGATGCCATTCCTATTTGTTTGAAATCCACAGACAAGAGAAGCACATCATAAAAATTATCAAAACTTATGAACATTTTGTGCATTGAAAAAATACAAAACCAATTAGTTAATTATTTGAGGCATATTTATGTAAATCAAAAGTATTTCTGGAACTACATTCCTACAATGAATTATTAACTATATATTTGAAGGTATTACCACACTATCTGACCAACAGTGGCAAAAAAAAAAAAAAATCCATGTGAAATAACACCGCACTTCTAGGAGCATGATGCTTCTCATCTGTTTTCCTCTTAGTTTCTGTTTTCAGTAAAAGTCAGACTTCAAGTCGAAATAGGAGGCCAGCCTCCAGCATAGAAAATGCTGCACATGGTGAAATACATCTTACAGAACTGAATGAAGACAGTAAGACTCAGCTGTAGGCTAATAATGCATGAAAAGATGCAAGAAATTGTCTCCTTGAGACACTGTGTTCAGACACAACAGTTCACTTGTTAGACCCAGTTTCTGGTACAGGAGTTCGCCATTCCTAACATCTCTCAGCCCTGGCCAATTTAGGGCATCTAAGCTCAAGCATGATATGCTTCCTCAGTCATTCACTACCAGTACACAAGCTCCTGTGTTACTTCACCACTTTAAGTTCTGAATGTCCTCAAGGAGCAACCAGGTTACAGTTCCCATTTAGGGTGGCTTCTCGTTTCAATAAATAAATGTAAATTCCTCGTTCCACAGTTAACAATATGCTTTGGCCCATCGCACTGCAGTAGTCTAAGCATGTATCTAGCAACATGCAGGGCTCTCTGTGCCACCCGTACTATAACGTAAAAATATGTTTAGTTCTGTCCATTTGGGAGTAAGCTCCCACAGATACTTCCTCTCTCCTCAGCATTCTTCCTTCCTGGTAAAGGTAACAGTTCCTCAGCCTTTGTCAAGAGTTCTATTTAGTTCAGGCAGCGAGATGTTTCAAAGATGAGCAGGAGGGCTGGGCGCTTTCAGAACAGAAGGCACAGAGCTACCCTACGTTTTCCTTTTGGTTTTGAGTGGTGAAGGGGACTTGGTGCAGTGAACTCCAACAATAGTAAAGTTCCAGTCACCCTGTGCAATATCCGAGAGAAGAAAGAGTGGGAGCAGCTTAACATTTCTAGCAATTACCGGTGCTCACATCTCTGTACTTTCTCCCCATGTGTCCTGCTTCAACAAGCATTTGTGAAGACTTCGTCTAAGGCTTTCCTAATGCTTAAGTTCTGGATTTTCTGCAGGAAATCACCTTGTGCTGGATAGCTTTTATTAAGGTGCTTGCTCAATGTAAGTTCCTTACAGCTTCCAGGTGAAACGAACACCAAAGTTAATACCACAAGTACAGGTAAGCGCATACAAACACCGAGCATCTTACTGAAATACGAGCATTTTCAAATTATGTTATCTTCATTTAAGTTCTAGGAAGTCTTCTCTACATTTAGGTTTTGCTATAGTAGAAACAAGAAGCAAGTCACCGTTCACAAATTAATCCTTAAGGAAATGAGAATGAATGCCATCAGTGCTCAGGTTTTAACATTTCTTTAAGGTTGAGGGAGAGGCTTCTTCTGTTAAAAAGAACACGCTTGTTGCTGGACAAAGCCCAAGAAGGTTTCTGCATGACCTGAACAGAAGAGAGACCATCTTCTGTTGCATATCTGGCATCACTGTTTAAGGTCATGAGATGAAATGAGACTACGATACCTCTGTCTCCACTTTGCAGAGATCCGAGTTCAGTGGCTCTTGCTTCACTCGATGGCCCAATGGCCACATTCATGAGCTTCTCTCCTTCACAAGACTCCATACTGTTTACATGTACTAGAATCAGCAAGTAAGTCACCCCTGTACACCTGATTGCAGATGCCTCATGCCCAATACTGGAACCCAGTACAACACCACAGCTTCAGTGAATTCAAACTGAAATCAATTGTCTTGAATACCTCAGGAAGCGGAATGGGAAGAAGTTCAGTACTGTACCTGAGAGGATCTGCTGAATCCCAAAACAGAAAAACATTTTGCTTCTGTTTTGTATTTCATTTGCTCTTCATCTTCCTTGGAAAAAGGAATTATATCACTCCCATAGCGAAACCCTGGAGAACAAGAGAAGAGCATCTGGTAAGCATATGGGCCAACAATTTTAACACTGAAATTAGCTCTCTGAATATTTTAACAATGCAAGCATGCCCCACAGCTACACTCCACATACGCTCATCAAACTACTTTCCCTCTTAACAAAAAAAACCACACACCCCATAGACACATTTTGTACTTCATGAGCAGCGGTTGCACTCCTTGTACATTGTTTTATGTAACACAGCTACCCTTATAGAGAGCAGGAAAGAAAATCAAGGAACTGAACATCTTGCTCATAGTGATGCTCACAGAATCGATTCAAGCAAATCAGAATAGATTTCAGCAGACTGCAACACTCCCTGCAAACATAATATTAAAAAACCCAAACAAATCGTGGACAGGAAATGATACCAGAAGGGATTCAGAGGACAAAACGTATTAACATTGCAAGTAAGACACACCCTCATACGTAATGGAAAACCAAAACTTATGCAGAAGCAGTCTTTCTATACATTTCTGTGTTTTACTTCCTGTGCCTTACACTACACAAAATAGAAAGCTGTTAGTTTCTCAGAGGTATCACCTGTTCCTACTGCTTATTGCCCCACCTCAAGCTACAGTATCCTCCCTGTAACATCATCACTTTATTATACTGTCACTGACTAAAGATGATATCCTCAGGTGCGAAGAAAGCAGAAGGAACAGAGGTAAAACTCTGAATGAAAAACCTAAATGCAGATACATTTGGCTGGAAATTGAAAAGCAAACACACAGGCAGAACAAAAAAAAATTTCAGCATGGGTCCTTCAAATGCAAATTATCATCTAATCAAGACATTTCTTAAAACATTCACAAAAGTCCACAAGGCATCAGCAGCTCTTTAATCATAAGAAATATCACACCATTGATAGAGAAATTTTTGGTCTCTTTTGTTCACATTGAACCATTCATCACTTCTTTTTACCAGTATCGCACAACCATCCACCAACATGGGCAGTCAGGACATCCACAGCCAATGGTCACAAATGCTTCAAAATATACTCACTACAAAAAGTGGATTTTTTTTTTATTCTACTAAAATTCTTGAAATTATAAAATACAAACAGATTACTAGCTTTTACCTACCATTTCTGCTTAAAGAAACACAGAAAATGACACTGTAATTGGGACATTTTTATCTCCTGTTGCTACAGAACACCCATGAAGGCTACAACTGAAATTGTTAAGTTACCAAAAACATACAGTATTTGTCTTCATTTTTCAATTTATTTTATTCATTTAACAGCACTTTCTGTACTGTTATCCAAATAGTTCGGCCCTTTATAGTTAACACATTTCTCCCACTTGTGTGGGATCCAAAGAGCAAATGAAAGAAAAAAATTAGTAACAAAACATCTATACAATCGCAAAAAATTAAATCTATTTGCTTAACTCCATTTTTTAAAAGTAGACTATTTCATAGTGTTTCTGGGCCCTTTTGTCTTCTAAGAAGTTTCTACTCAGAAAGAAGCTGAAGGTTATAAAAAAAGAATTCTGCTACGGAATTTAAACAGCAAAGCTAATAGACCTCTGAACACTAAATCTTCCTTTAATGGCTTCATCTTTCCAGTTGCAGAATATCTAGAGCAGTTGCTCATCTAGAAAAAAAGCAGTGTTATGAAAGCATTCATGTTCTCAGTACAACTCAAGATTCGAAAACAGAGCAGAGGTTAGCAGCACTACTCACAACAGAACTGAGGTATGGTCCTCCACAGAATACAGTTTAGGAAGCTGTAGTGCCTTCCAAGTTCCACCTGGTGGTATTATTATTATTCCTCTTAGTGGCAAAAGTAAGAATTTTTAAAATATGTGAAGACAAACAGTCTCACGTAACAGCCTCTGTGTTCCAGCAGCTTACACTCTAAGATCACAACTAGGCTTCAAAGTGTAAAACTAAAAGGCACTTGGGTGACTTAAGAGTACAAGCCACTTTCTCTGGTTTGTCTTCAGGGTGCACATGAAGTCATACCTTGAATAGTATCATCCTTCTGAACCTCTGTCTCGTCATCATCATTCAAGCAGTAAACAGTTTCTTTCTGCACATCGTCTTTACTGAGAGTTTTAGCATCCACAACCGTCCAGATTTTTTTCACCTTCTCTTCTGTGACCTTCACACCAGGATTCAAAGAAAATGAAAGTTTAACTTTTCAGTGGGATCCAGAGTGCTTACCAGAACGTGCAAAAAATTCTTAGACCCAAGTGCTGCGTTATTTTGCCAATAAGGGACTAATAATGACAGCCCCAAATATGCATCTCTGACTGCTACCACCGTGCTTTCAGCACACTTGTTTATCTGTATGAGACCTAATACCTGAACTATATCTTACTGACCGCGTACTTGTCTTGGCTATTCATTAAAGTCATGGGCTGTCATTTGTGGAAGTCTTTTAGTCAAAGGATAACATGTAACTTGCTTGCTATGTGTTTCACTTCCTCCACTTACATCAACACTTTTGACAAAACATTAAGACATATGTTAAAGATACAAGAAGACTCAATGCTCATTCAGCTTGTTTGCCCAAGTTCTGCATCAGGCTGACTACCCTACAGGATAAAAATACCCTGTATTACTGCAACTTCCCCAAAGGGCAGAAAAAGGTCCCAGCTGCATTATGGGACTGGAAGGGGAAAGAAGGAAAAAATATCTGGAATGAGTGAATGTTTCCCAACTACATAGAAAGAAAAAAAGTCTCTTTTCTCTCTACTTAAGTGAAACTAATGATATACTTAGTGAACGAGAAGATAAATTGAGAATGGGGCAGAAAACAGAAAAGACAGCAAAGATTACGTCAGTAGATATCACAAGTCTATTCCTAGCTCTGATCCAGCTGCTGTATGACCTTGGACTAGTCATACAGTTCATTTTGCTTATTCTCCCAAGCTTCATTTATTTTGTGTGTACACACCTTTGGGAGGGGACTCTTACTGCATATTTGTACAGGTCTGGCATAACACTCTAAAAAAAAATTATGTATAAGTATAAATAGAAAGCTAGCAGCATAGATTGCTTTCAAGGCTAGCATTTCTATCTCTCAGAAATTAGATATATTTCAACTTCATAATATATCTTCCTGAAACCTGCAATATGGGCCAGACTCCCAGTCTTGGGTTCAAATAAAAACCCATTTATCTCCATCTCAGCAGATCCACCAATGTTGCCACACTACATAGTTACCTATTAATTATTCAATAACTGGAATCTCCCGCATTTTCTGTGTTTAAATACACTTACTTCTTCCTAGCACTGTGTAAAGGACCCGTAACAACTGTAAGGGAAACAGACTGTGCCCAAGCTCTGCCAAACAATACACAGCAAACAAGCTGAAAAAAATATACCTTCATTCCCAAGTCTGAAATAACAATAGATGTGATTCAAAACAATAGCTGGTGAAACATTTACACCCACCATTTTACATACACATGTGCATAATTCCTCTCTTCTTAAGCCTAGGGCTTTAGAAATATATATTGAGTCTCATTGAGCTGCAGACTTATCACTGATGTCGAATGGAAAGCTTCACACAAGTGCAGCATTCTTAATCAGGTCTGTCAACTTTAATACCATTAAGTGTCACAGCGTAGATAGCAATTACTTCTATTTCTGTACATCGTGAATTTTAGTTCTTTAACATATGTGTACAATATGGTGAAGTTAAGAGTTGCTGTGGGAACCACAGTTCTAAATGTACTGGCTTCTACACACATAAAATCTCTACCATAACTATTTTGGATGTTGTTTTATCTTTTATTTTCTTAGCTTTAAGGAAAAAACATGCAGCTGCACCTAACTAGCTGCCAAAATACACTAAAACTTATGATTTTATGAACTTACTGATTTGTAGGCCACAATCCTTATAGATAAATTAGAACCAATAGTGAGCTGGCAGGGCCAAGCCATAGGTCTTCTTTCTAATTTCTTAAACATCGAAAGACGCTTCAGGCTCTCTCTAAATGAAAGAATCAGTAAAACAGAAATGAACTCTGGTGAACTATAATAAAACATTGCAGATAATATACTCTCTTCAAGAAGATGCGGGAATCCAACTGTTTCAGCTTAGACTGCACATAGCATTAGAAAATAAACTGTATGAATAATCTTGTCATTAACTATCATCAGAAAAGAGAATGAAAAAAGAGGTGGTACAGTAGATTATTCCCATCTCAAGCCTTTATGATGGTGTGACACTAGAGCTTAAAGACAGTATGGTAGGTCTTGTGATGAAACTATACAATTCCTTATTAAGCATTTTACATTTATCTGTGCTCATCCAATTAGGGCACATAGTTAGCTGGACAACCCAAATTAGAAAAGGCTTCTCTAAGTGGTAAAATGTTTTCTGCAGTGCAGGTGAAGAAATTAAGAACCCAGTTTCAATTAACAGGATTTTGTTTGTGTGGTAATTAACTTTTGACACTTTTATATAGTACTAACAAACTCATTATTTTCGGGGCATTCGGTTAGAGTGAAACAAGTTACTAGCCTAAACAGCATATATACAAGTTCATAAAACACAGAAAAAAGGAACTGTAATGACTTTATACTAAACAGTGTTAACTCAGTTGCACAACTTTAAGTCCAAAAATTAAAAACTGACAGTAAAAGTATTTTATAATATATTATTGTGAAATCAAATAGTCTTGCACCCCAGGACAGCTTTCAGCTAATATAAACAGCTATTTTGCCATCAAACTCCAATGCAGAGAAAGTGCTCATAAATTTTTTTTTTATTGCATGATGAAGCAAAGATAAAAGTGTTGACCTCATCTTTGTCACATGATGATAAAACCCAAAATCTACCTCTCTCTTGGTTAAAGCACTTGTCTAGCAGATCAACTACTAAAAACATTAATACAGAATTCAACTTGGTGTTCTACTTCTTAACTTTCTTAGGATGAGCAGGGTTTTTCTGAAAATTCTAACAGAAGCACAACGAAAGAAGAAAATGCACAGGGATTTTTACAAGATAAACATATTTCCTTTTTAAATTTTTTTTCTTCCTAGGGGAAAGGAAAGAAGGGAGGAGAAATTACTTTTTCTGGTAATAGAGACATCAGTATAGGATTTTTAAAAAGAACCTGTTACTACATCATCAAAACTACTGCAACACATACATTGAAGGATAAATGTGAAAATCAAATATCTGTCACATGCCTAAAAACATCATTTAAGCTCAATTTATTAACTCTATCCTTTAATTTCTTACATTTATAGAAGAAAAATGCTCCCTGTTATCAAAGAAGACTCAGCCAATAAAACCCTACTAAATGCACGTTTCAACTTGTATTTTAAAAACATGTCTTCTCCTCTGCTCTCCAATCCCTTCCCCCAAAACCAGAGGCAGCAGAAGTACCTCCTGTCCAACAGTCAGAATATCAAACCCTAAAACAACAAAACAAAATTTTCTCACTTACTTTCCTGGCATGACCAATTTGTTTTCACAAGAGTTGAAATATTTTTACCAACAGCAACAATGAATATAGTAAAACAGAGAGTGTATCTGCGATGGTAAATTATCAGGACTGATTCGTAAGGCTAACTTCTTAAAGCTTGATAAGCAACTTAACTGCTTCTAAAACCTCACGTATTCTTCAACATCTAAAGCTTTAATCTATAAGCCAAATGCCTATTTAAACAAAGATTTCGGATTTCCCTTGAAAGCATGGCACAAAGACAGCTTATAGAGTACCAAGAGCCTGCAATAAAAACAAAAAAATTAAGAAGGCGCCAAGCCATGTAGTAGCTTTACAGATATGGATTATCCTAAAGGACAACCAAACGGGCCCAGAAAGATACTGCTTTTCGGTGGAGTCATTTGATGCAATGACAAAGCCTGCGCTTTTCTAGAGACTCAGACTGCTCTGTTGACCAGTGTGGAATACATACATAGCAATACATGTTTGTTCACTAATCCACACTAATGCTCAAATAACAGTTTAACCGGCTGCTGAGGTGCAAAGCAGATCAGTTCGGCAGGGTGAGGGAAGGAAACCCACAAATAAAATGACAAATAACAGCACAAAAACCTACAGGTACCACCCTCAACTAAAAATTACACTTGACAATCAAAACACAACTATGGTCTACTAAGCTCCCTGAAAAACACATTGTCTAAAAGATCACACTTCTTAACTGTAGAACAGAATTACTAAGAGAGCAAAATCAGACTTTTATAAGGTCCATAGATGCATTTTGCTTGTTTCCCAACCAAGACAGCACCTATGTGGAAAAGTCTCGGATACACCATCAGCTACAGTTTTTCAGACACACGCATAATATTTTTATTCTTTCACTAAGGAAACACGAAGCGAAAAAACATCTTTCAATTCTTGCATTAGGAATGCTGCTAAAAAAGTGTATTTTTTGGCACAACGGCACAGTAGTCTGTGATTAAAGAGCAGGATTCACCAAACAACATTACTCAAAACATTTGTGGGAGTTCGATAAATTAGTGAGCTGAAAGAAGTCCAAGACCAAGGAACAAAGGCTACCATTAAATGCAAATGTTCTACCTGCACGTCACAAATTCCAACTCTTTCCAAAACATGCTTTTGAAATCTCATTTATAGAAACATTCCATCCAAATTCCACCATCACTAAGCATAGAAGAAAACTGTTTTTTTTTAAAAAATACAGATATAAAAATTCTTTTTCCACTGAAATCTGTAAGCTTTTCTACCTATTGTAAAGCCACTGAAGAAGCTGTTTGAAATGGACTGGGTGTACAATAAGTTATAAAATTCACTGGCTTCCGTGAAACTGGAAGCCAAGTGACCGTTTAATTAACTAATTTCATCTTTTCGGGAAGAAATCAGAAAGCAAATTCACAGTGTGATAAAGAGGATTAGCCAAGTTTACCTGAAAGTATAAATTTCTTCCAGCCCTCCTTCTTCATCCAAAGTATGCATCAGTTTCCTCACCACATGAACGCCTTCCTTCTGTTGCTCAGTTAAACCCTTTAGTGGAAAAGAGTTTCTGTGCATTTGAGAATGTACAGTGGCACTTGTATCTCCACCTCCACCACCAACATCCACTGGAAATGGCAGACTAAGAACACAACCAGAAGCAGTTAGTTTGACTTTCTTCTTTATTAAAATAACCAAACAAAAACAAAACAAAAATTGTATCACGATCAACAATTTCTACCTGTGCAACCACCAACCTGTCAGCCTCACCTCTGTGCCTGGGAAGATCATGGAGCAGATCCTCCAAGATGCTCTCCTAAGGCACACGGAGGACCGGAAGGTCATTCAAGACAGCCAGCATGGCTTCACTAAGGGCAAGTCCTGCTTGACCAACCTAGTGGTTTTCTGTGATGGAGTGACTGCATCAGTGGACAAGAGAAAAGCAGCAGCTGTGATCTAGACTATGTGATCTATGATTCTTCCTCAATCCCATCAGTGGTAGAGGAGAATACTGAAAGGGACAGGAAAACTCACCTGATTAACAGGCAGCTCAGAGGATGGTGCCATTGGTGGAAACTTGGTTTCTTTAATCATGGGGAGGTTTACACAGCACCAGGCCTGCTGGCGACAGATGGAGTCCAGCTGTCTTCAAGGGGGAAAAGGATTCTTGCCCATGAGCTGGCAGGGCTCATCAAGAGGGCTTTAAACAAGGTTCGAAGTGGGAAGGGGATATAACCAGGCTCACTAGAGATGAGCCCAGGCATGGCATGACAGGATTTGGGGTGAAATCGATAGCCCAGCTCAAGTGCATCTACATCAATGCACGCTGCATGGGCAATAAACAGGAGGAACTGGAAGCCATCGTGCAGCAGGACATCTATAACTTGGTCACCATCACAGAAACATGGTGGGATGACTCTCATGACTGGAGGGCCGCACTGGATGGCTATAAGCTCTTCAGCAGGGATAGGCAAGGAAAGAGAGGCGGTGGGGTGGCTCTGTATGTTAGAGACTGCTTCGATTGCATAAAGCTCAGCAATTGCGATGACAAGGTTGAGTGCTTATGGGTAAAGATGAGCGGGAAAGCCAACAAGGCAGACATCCAGCTGGGAGTCTGTTATAGACCACCCAACCAGGATGAACAGGTAGATGCAGCATTCTACAAGAGCCTGGCAGAAGTCTCACAATCGCTAGCCCTTGTTCTTGTGGCGGAATTTAACTTACAAAACATTTGCTGGAAATACAACACAGCAGAGAGGAAACAGTCTAGGAGGTTCCTGGGGTGTGTGGAAGATAACTTCCTGACACAACTGGTCAGTGAGCCTACCAGGGGAGGTGCCTCGCTTGACCTGCTAGTAAACAACTAACAGAGAAGGACTGGTGGGAGATGTGATGGTTGGAGGCTGTCTTGGGCTTAGCGACCATGAATTGATAGAGTTCTCAATTCTCGGTGAAGTAACGAGGAGGGTCAGAAAAACCACCACTATGGACTTTCGGAGGGCAGACTTTGGCCTGTTCAGGACACTGGCTGAGAGGGTCCCCTGGGAGAGAGTCCTGAAGGGCAAAGCGGTCCAGGCAGGCTGGACATTCTTCAAGGAGGAAGTCTTCAAGGTACAGGAGCAGGCTATCCCCAGTGCTGCAAGACGAACCAGCAGGGAAGATGACCAGCCTGGCTGAACAGGGAGCTTTTGCTGGGACTCAGGAAAAAAAGGAGGGTCTACCACCTATGGAAGAAAGGGCAAGCGACTCAAGAGGAGTACAGGGCTCTCATTAGGTCGTGCAGAGAGGAAATTAGAAAGGCAAAAGCCCAGCTAGAACTCAGGCTGGCACTGTTGTAAGGGACAATAAAAAATGTTTTTACAAATACATTAACAACAAAAAGAGGGCCAAGGAGAATCTCCATGCCTTATTGGATGTTGGGGGGAACATTGCCACCAAGGATGACGAAAAGCCTGAGGTACTTAATACCTTCTTTGCCTCAGTCTTTAATAGTCAGACTGGTTATTCCCAGGGTAGCTAGCCCCCCGTGCTGGAAGATAGGGAAGGAGAGCGGAAAAAACCTCCCATAATCCAGGAGGAAGCAGTTAACGACCTGCAATGCCACCTGGACACTTTCACAAGTCTATGGGGCCAGATGGGATCCACCCAAGAGTGCTGAGGGAGCTGGCAGAGGAGCTGGCCAAGCCACTCTCCCTCATTTGTCAGCAGTCCTGGTTAACACGGGAGGTCCCAGGCAACTGGACACTTGCTAATGTGATGGCCACCTACAAGAAGGGCCAGAAGCAGGATCCCAGGAACTACAGGCCTGTCAGCCTGATCTTTATGCCTGGGAAGATTATGGAGCAGTTCATCTTGAGTGCGCTCACCGGGCATGTGAAGGACAACCAGGGGATAAGGCCCACCTAGAACAGATTCATGAAAGGCAGGTCCTGCTTGACCAACCTGATCTCCTTCTATAACAAGGTGACCTGCTTAGTGGATGAGGGAAAGGCTGTGGATGTTATCTACTTGGACTTTAGTAAGGCCTTTGACACTGTTTCCCACAGCATCCTCCTAGAGAAACTGGCTGCTCATGGTTTGGATGGATGGACACTTTGGTGGGTAAAAAAATGGCTAGACGGCCAGGCCCAAAGCCAGTTGGTGGCCAGTCACGAGTGGTGTTCCCCAGGGCTCAGTTTTGTGTCCAGTCTTGTTTAACACATTTATCAACGATCTGGATGAGGGGATTGAGTGCTCCCTCAGTAAGTGTGCAGATGACACCAAGCTGGGCAGGAGTGTCAATCTGCTTGAGGGTAGGAAGGCTCTGCAGAGGGATCTGGACAGGCTGGATCGATGGGCCGAGGTCATATGAGTTTCTACACGGCCAAGTGCCGGGTCCTACACTTCGGTCACAACAATCCCATGCAACGCTACAGGCCTGGGGAGGAGTCGCTGGAAAGCTGCCTGACAGAAAAGGACTGGTGGGGCTGCACCTCGAATACTGTGTTCAGTTTCAGGCCTCTCACTACAAGAAAGACATGGAGGTGCTGAAGCGTGTCCAGAGAAGGGCAATGAGGCTGGTGAGGGGTCTGAAGAACAAGTCTTATGAGGAGCGGCTGAGGGAACTGGGGTTGTTTAGTCTGGAGAAGAGGAGGCTGAGGGGAGACCTAATGGCTCTCTACAACTACCTGAAAGGAGGATGTAGTGAGGCAGGTGTTGGTCTCTTCTCCCAGGTAACTAGCCATAGGACGAGAAGAAATGGCCTCAAGTTGTGTCAGGGGAGGCCCGGGTGGCCAAGAAGGCCAACAGTATCCTGGCTTGTATCAGGAACAGCGTGGCCAGCAGGAGTAGGGAGGTGATCGTGCCCCTGTACCCGGCACTGGTGAGGCCGCACCTGGAGTACTGCCTGCAGTTTTGGGCCCCTCACTACAAGAAGGACAATGAGGTGCTGGAGAGGGTCCAGAGAAGAGCAATGAGGCTGGTGAGGGGTCTAGAGAACAAGTCTTCTGAGGAGCAGCTGAGGGAACTGGGGCTGTTTAGTCTGGAGAAGAGGAGGCTGAGAGAAGACCTTATTGTTCTCTACAACTACCTGAAAGGAGGTTGTAGTGAGGCAGGTGTTGGCTTCTTCTCCCAAGTAACTAGCGATAGGACGAGAGGCAATGGCCTCAAGTTGCATCAGGGGAGGTTTAGATTGGATATTAGGAAAAATTTCTTTACTGCA